ACACACACACATAATGGTGGTTATATGTAGTGTGCCATGTAGTGTGTTCCAGCTCATATCGACCCTGTATAGAGAGTTTCTGAGGCTGTAAATATATGGAAGCAGAAAGACTCATCTTTCTCCTACAGAACGACTGGTAGATTCAAACTGCAATCTTGTGGTTAGCAGCCAAACTGTAACCCACTATGTTAACAGGGCTCCTTATAAATCATAAAGAGACTCTTCATTAAGTCTTAAACATGAGAAAACTGAGACAAAGACAAACATCACAGATGCCATAATGATGTTTCAAAGTTCTACCTTCATGTTGTTGTTGTTGCTATTGTAAAATCCTTTTGAGTCAGTTTTAACTCACAGCATCCCTGTTTCTAGGGAACAGCTGATGAGTTTGCACTGCTGATCTTGTGGTTCATACAACCCTGTGGTTCAGTGCTTTTCCTATAGTGACCTTTCACAGGACACAGAGAACAAAGAAATCTCCTCCCACACCTGAACTGTCTCCAGCAATGTGTCACTTAGGTTTTCTATGCTTGCTGGGTCTGAGGAAGCAGAGGGAGGACTATTGCAGATAGAAAGACTTACAGACTGTCTCTGAGACTCTCTCATGACATTATAAACAAGCAACCATTTAGGGGCATGTTCAGGAATATTCTGTGAAGGTCAACTAGAGAAAGTGGTCCAAAACCCACTTTTAAATATACTCTTCTTCTAACTCTGGCAATTTGGCTGTCAGAATTGCATGTGGTAGTCCAGAAGAATTGGTATCTGAACACTTAAAACTAGGTTGTTGTTGTTAAGTACCATCGAGTCAGTTCTGACCCATAGTGACCCTGTATAGGTTTTCCTAGGAGTAACTGGTGAGCTTGAACTGCTGACCTTGTGGTTCAAATTGACTTTGCAGTCCAGCACACTAACCTACAATGCTCTGGCTGGTTGGAGTTTTTCCCAGGCAAAAAGCCTTCAGATTTCATGCTCTACAGTGATAGTCGAAGATGAAACCTAGAGCTAAGAACTATAAAGAGTGAGCAATTGACATATAGTTCTCGTCTTAGATATGATAATAGTGACCTGTTAACCCATTGAAAGCAGGTGCAGTGGAGACAGTGAACAGGTTTCTGAGTTAATATCCTCTCTAGTTTTAGGAATACCCTGAGGTTCATTTGATAGTGTTTATTAAATCCCTATTATTAATAGGACCAGAGTCCTGGTAAGGGGTTGTAGGATAAGCACTGGATTACAGGGTTGGTTTGAGCGAAAAGTTCCACAGTTCAAAGCCACCAGTCTCTCCTTGGAAACTTTATGCAGAGTCACTATGAGTCAAAACAGACTCAACATCACTTGACACCACCACCACCATTAATATGGCAAGGTGCCCTGGTAGCATAGTAGTTTACAAGTTGGACTGCTAACCACAGGTCAGCAGTTCAAATCTACCAGCTACTTTTCAGGAGAGAGATGAGGCTTTCTGCTCCCGTAAAGACTTACAGCTTTGGAAACCCTATGCTGGGTTTCTATGAGTTGTAAAAGATACCACACACCCACCATCACCATTAAATAGGACAGTAACAAATACATTGATTTTTTTTTTTCATTAAGTGTAAATAGAATAAAACAAATCCATAATAAACTTTACCTGCATGCCAATGGTGGAGATGAAAAAACGAGAAGACAGAATTCTAGTTCTGAAGTGAAGATCCACATACCTAATCACAGAAAGGGTTAGGTGACAGCACACTCAAAGTATGAAGAACAAGATATTTTCTAATCTGGTTTTGCAGCAGAAACTGTCTTTCTGGTCCCTTTTCCATACCTAAGCACTGTGTGATAGTCCCTGTTCATAACTTACCTTTGGCTTACCTCTACACATGTGATTCCTCACAGTATTCCAAGGTGGAAAGACATCCTGTGACAGCATTGGATACAATGATGGAGTCAAGTTTTGCTGGACCACAGTCCTTCCCAGAAGTTTCTTCTCCTGATAGAGGAAGCCAGTCTTTCAAGCACCACAGGTACTGGTAACTAATCTTGGTGAGAATGGGTACATTCACGCTGCACATATCAGAGAAAAGCTTGCCAAAGATGGCAACATTATGCAGGAAGGATATAGTTCTTGCTTCTGCCATAGTTCCTTAAGAAGCAGGGACTTGAATATGTCACTGTAGACAAGCCAAAGATGCCAGCTTCACCCACTGGACAACAGTGTTCCTATACAAAGCATATACCCATCAATAGTATAAATGGTGATTAATGAATGAAATAATTGTATCCTGCAAAACTATTAAAAACATGATTTTTCTTATCCTGCCTTGTCTCCTTTTGCAAAGATAATGACTGATTTCTTCCCTAGGCGCCTGCAACAAAATATTTCAGGTTCTCACACAATTTTCCAGGGGACTTTTATTATCATTGTGGTGATACTCTTTTATGAACTGATCATATAATTGGCTCTTTTGTAGAGAAAGTCAAGGGCAAAAATATTTGAAAAAACTCTTGTTGGTCTGATGCTGAATGTGTTTTAGCATCTTCTTGTCTGCACTGTGTTCTATAGGTGAGCAATCTGAAAGTTCCACACTGAAAGGCTTTGTCCTAGATCATATGGCATTTGGAGACTAATGCTAGAACAAATTCTTGTATGTATCCAGATGTATATCTTCAGTTTTATGGAAATTTTTGAAAGATTTAAACTTCTTTTTCCTAGTGAGAAGTCTGATACTTGAAAATGAACAATAAGATTACAATATATGTAAATATTAAAATATTAAAAAGTACTAGTTGTTCCTAGCAGTGAAAGATTAGTGTTGTTGACATTTTTGTTTTCACGGATTCCTACTGAACTATTCTCTGTGGCAAAAGCAAGCATTGAGATGAAAGCTCCCTTTGCCCTTGTCTCTCTCAGTGAGACACATGGAACCTTTTTTTAAATTGTTTCCGGCCACATTTACTTCCAGGTGGGGACGATTATTTTTATTTTAAAGCCGCAGAATGAGATACTAAGGATTTGCCAAATCAAAAAATGACACAAAATAAGCAAACAAAAAACATAGTTGAAATAATTTAAACTTGGATGATTGCTTTAGCTACTAAATACAAGTCTTAGGTTACATCATGGGTGACATTTATAGAATATTTTCCTATGAATGGAGTATTTCATTTTGCCGGACCTAATAAATGATCTTAGCTAATAAAATAAGTCTTTTAGAATACTTTGCCCTGCTGACTTTAACATATGTTAAAATAGTCTTACACCCAGTAAAATTAAATAATTCAATATAATGTTCCTTTAGTACTAAATTCTTAAGTTGTTGTTTAGTAACCTGGAGTCGGTTCTGACTCATAGTGACCATGCACAGGGTTTCCCAGGCTGCAAATCTTTATGGGAGCAGAAAGTTTCATCTTTCTCCCACAGAACAGCTGGTAGTTTCAAACTGTCGACCTTGAGGTTAGCAGCACGATTCATAACCACTACGCTACCAGAGCTCCTGTACTGGTATTAAATAAAGTCATCACTCCTACTACTTAATTAAGTCATCACAATTTTAAAGTTTAGATTAAATAATAATAATAAAACTTCTAAAGTATTTGGCTGGTAACCCCGTTTCTTTTTCACTACTTAAACCTGAAAGTTTTGAAAAGACATTCCTTTTCTTTTGGTTCATAGACACTGACATATTTGTTGGCCTATGATGTGTCCTGATAGACAAGCAAGGTTTGATTTATAAAGTGCTTTTGGAATTTTGTAAATTATAGTTTAATATATCATAGCTTTTGTTGTGTAAAACATGCAGTAGACCTAAACATCGTCATGATTGATAGTGCGGTCACTGATTTATGTAACCTGCAAACTGCTCTATAACTTCCTAAATGCCACTGGGTTAGAAGGCCTGAATAGTTGATTGATCAATAGATCTGGGATTGTTGTTGTTGGGTTTTTTTAAGATAGGTCCCTTGTTCATAGTGGTAGACTTTGCTGTTATGACAGTTTAACAAGCTATTTGGATAATTGATTTGGATAATTGATTTATGGAACAAACCTATTAATTCAATGCCATTGTTTTTAGTGTTTAGTAAAAAAAAAAAAAACCAACTTTATGAAGAAGGCATATTTTAGAGAATGTCATATATTGCATAATACTTGACAATATAGCTCACCAATAAAAAACACAGATGTAGAGTTTTAACACTGAAAGCACTCTAGGACATTTAGTGATTAGTAGCATCTTTGGAATTGTCAGCTATGGTTGAAGAACCAGGGGTAATGTATCATATCATGTTGAGCACCTACCATGGGACAGTCCCCTATAAGACACGCTGTGGAGATTATCTCCTTTAACTCTATTAACAATCCACCGGAAACTCTTAACAATGGGACTAACATCTTCCCTTTTCCTCCTGATCGACCTCTACTTTTCTCTCTGCTGCTCTGCACACTTGCAGGTTAACAATCCTTGCCCTGTCCTCAGGCTTCTGTTGGTTCCAATGAGGTGAGGCCATGGCTGGAGATAGAAGGACAAGAGGAAAAAAATAAGAACTGCACTTCTGTCCCTTTCTCTGCCTGGTCACCTCAGTTCTCTCTCCTTTCTTGGGGTCATGTTGCCTGGGTATCTGCCAGGTAATTCTCTCCTTACAACTCACTTTCTACATTCTGATAACTACTAACTTTTTCATCCCTTCAGTCAAAAGGGTTAGGAATGCCTTCCCATTGTTTTTAGCCATGAGGTACAGTAGTATCTCATTTTACATGTTTTTGCTTTGTTTTGTATTTTTGCACTCAAATACTGCATGTTGTTGTTAAGTGCCATCACGTTGGTTTTGACTCATAGTGACCCTGCATAGGGTTTCCAAGAAGCATCTGGTGAGTTTGAATTGCTGACCTTGTGGTTCAAACTGACCTTGCAGTCTAGCGCTTTATTGTAAATAATAAACTCTCCTCAAATGACCCAATTGGAGAAGACCTTTTATCTCCTTCCATGACATTGACTAGTTCTTACTACATGCTGTTGTTAACAAGCTATTGTTGTTGTTAAGTTCTGTTGAGTCAGTTCTGACTAATCGCTACAGTGTATAGGGTTTCCAAGGAATAACTGGTGAGTTTGAACCACGAACCTTGTGGTTAGAAGTCCAGTGCTGATCTTACAGTGCCATGTACACATGTAAAATTCAAACTTCCAGTATTCAAACGAACCCACCCCCACCCCATGTCCTGAGAAGTACTAGTGTGAGACTGTAGGATAAGACTTCGTTTGCTGATGCGGCACAACTCAAAATAAAGAGAAACAGATGTAAACATCCATTAATAATTAGAATATGGAATGTATGAACTATGAATCTAGGAAAATTAGAAATTGTTAAAAATGAAACGAAACCCATAAACATCGATACCTTAGGCATTAGTGAGCTGAAATGAACTGGTATTGGCCATTTTGAATCTGACAACCACATGGTTTACTATGTTGGGAATGACAAATTGAAGAGGAATGGTGTTGCATTCATCGTCAAAAAGAACATATCCAGATCAGTCATGAGGTACAACACTCTCTGTGAGAGGGTAATATCCATGAGCCTACAGGGAAGCCAGTTAATGCCACTATTATTCAAATTTATGCCCCAACCACTAAAGCCAGTGAGGATGAAATAGAAGAAGTCTACCAACTTCTTCAATTTGAAATCGATCAAACATGCAATCAACATGTATTGCTCATTACTGGTGATTGGAATGCAAAGGTTGGGAGCAAAAAGGAAGGATCAGTAGTTGGAAAATATGGCCTTGGTGATAGAAATGATGCTGGAGAATGCATGATACAATTCTTCAAAACCAATGATTTTGTTAATTTCAAATACCTTCTTTAGACAGCATAACAGATGACTATACACATTGACCTCATCAGATGGAATGCATAGAAATCAAATTGACTACATCGGTGGAAAGAGACGATAGAAAAGCTCCATATCATCAGTCAAAACAAGGCCAGTGGCAGACTGTGGAACAGACCATCAATTACTCATATGCAAATTTAAACTGAAGCTGAAGAAAATGATAAGTCCACAAGAGCCAAACTATGACCTTAAATATATCCCACCTGAATTTAGAGATCATCTGAAAAACAGATTTGATACATTAAACACTAAAGACCGAAGACCAGAAGAGTTGTGGAATGACATCAAGAACATCATACATGAAGAAAGCAAAAAGTCAATGAGAAGACAAGAAAGAAGGAAAATATCAAAATGGATGTGAGAAGAGACACTGAAACTTGCTCTTCAGTGTAGAGATGCTAAAGCAAATGGAAGAAATGAGGAGGTCCAAGAGCTGAACAGAAAATTTCAAAGATCAGCTCGAGAAGATAAAGTCAAATATCTTCTTTAATGAACATACAGTCATTTAGATATTTGGATATATATCAAATAAAATATATAGTGAAATGTTTATTAAAAACAAACTCAAGCAAACAAACAAAAAACAATTTAGTTTCACAAGATTAATGAAAATTTCGAGGAATGAGCTCAGAATTTAAAATATATATTAAGAAGAGAATGCCAATTAAAATCAGGTTTGTTTTAATCTATCACTGAAACAAGTGAAAGTTTCCTCACAAATCCCTTTAGGGCTGCCTGTGTTTAATTTTTACCAGTCCTAGTAGCGTAGTGGTTATGAATCAAGCTCAAGGTCAGTAGTTCGAAACTACCAGCTGTTCCTCGGGAGAAAGATGAGGCTTTCTGCTCCTGTTAAGATTTACAGCCTCAGAAACCCTGTTACAGGGTCACTATGAGTCGGAACTGACTCCACGGTACTTAACAACAACAACCATAAGAAGACCATTTTATTTCTAATAGGCAGACAGCGACCATAGCTGTCCAAGTCACTTGAACTGAAATTTGAATATTGAGACTTCAGTAAGCCTGCCTCTTTTCTTTAGCTGGAAAGCTCTAACTGTATTAATCTCATGTGCTCTCTACTGGAAAACCAGAAACACAGACACTTTTCTGTTTCAGTGTCTCCAGGGGTAAAGGAATTTCTCTACTCCTAATTCATTCCTGGTTACCAATCGGGCTTTGAAACTTAAGGTCAGCAGTTTGAAACTACCAGCTGTTCCACAGGAGAAAGATGAGGCTTTCTGCCTCCGTAAAGATGTAAAGATTTACGGTCTCAGAAACCCTGTGCAGGATCCCTATGAGTTGGAACCGACTCCATGGCACACAACCACCACCACCACCACCAATTCAGTACTGGAGTCCTGGTGTGGCACTGTGGGTAAATGTGGCAGACTGCAAAGCGGTTTGAACGGCAAGATCGGCGGATCAAGCTCACCAGCTGCTACTTGGAAACCCTGTACAGGCTAACGATGGGTCAGAAGCGACTCATTGGCACTTAACAACAACAACTCACTCCTGGTGTGGTGCTGTGGGTTAATGCGCCAGACTGCAAAGCCATTTGAACTGTAAGGTTGGCTGTTCAAGCTCACCAGCTGCTCCTGGGAAACCCTATACAGGGTCACTATGGGGTCAGAGCCGACTGGACAGCACTTAACAACAATTCACTCCAAGCAGACACAGCATTCCCGCATTGCTTCAGGCCAGTATTTTGAGCATCTGGTGTATAAATGTGACTTTTGATGAGTGTGACGAGCCCCTGGTGAGGTTATTGCTATGACCTCTGTTGTCTGTTGATTTTCTTTCATCCCAGCAGGAGTCTCTCCTCTTGCTACAGCCCAGGGCAAAGGAGTGGGATGCTTCATAGGAATGCCTTCGGAAGGACACCCCCATTGCCCCGAAGTCGGCTGAGTGGAATCGTGGGACCAGCGTATCAACACCTAGAAGAATCACGGATCCCAGACCAGGATACGATACCTTGTCAAGGGTAGGTCTTAAAGGCAATGGAATCTAGGGAAGTATCATTAATGCTATACCCTTAAGTTAACTATGAAAGTCTTGAGGTTTAATTCAATGACTTTTTCTTCATTTAGTTGTTTGTGGTTACTAACATCCTTTTCACACACAAGATGAGCTAATTTAAGAGAACAGGTGTGACAGGGTTTTAGGGAGAAGTTAGTTTAAAAGGAATATAAGGATAGAAAGTTAAATGTAGAGATATTTCTTATTAGTTGTCATCGAGTCGATCCCCTTATAATGACCATACATGTAGGATTTCCAAGGCTGTGGCACTGTAAGATAAGAACTGGACTGCAAGGTCGGTTTGAACCACAAGGTCTGTGGTTCAAACCCACCAGCTGCTCCTAGGAAACCCTAGACATGTTCGCTGAGTTGGACCCTACTCGATGGCACTTAAAAACAACAATGACAAAAAGTTTTACAGGAGCATAAGAGAGGCTCATCTTTCTTCCGTGGAGTGTGTGGCTGGTGGGTTTGAACTACCAATCTTGCAGTTAGTAGTTCAGTGCTTATCCTAGAGTGCTACTAGTGCTTCTTCTACAAATAACTAGACAACATTATTACACAATTATGAACATTTATCTTTGATCTTAAAATTTTAGGTTTTATAGTCAGATAAAAGTGGCGCTGTAGGATAAGCACTTGACTGCAAGGTCGGGTTGAATGCCAAGATTAGCAGTTGAAATGCACCAGCTGCTGATTGGAAAGCCTCTACAGGGGAGCTAAGAATTGGAATGGACTCAACAAAGTCGTTCATTAGCCTTTGTGTGAAACAAGTTACTCAATCATTTGAAGAGCATTGTTGATAGTGTCCTAAGTAATACCCTATAACATATATGCAATATCTACTTCCATGAAGAATTCTTGAGTGCATCTCAATCATAAACCCATAGCACCATCTGATGAACTCAGACTCCCGGGTTTATATAGAGTTCAAAGATTGGGGGATAGACTCCAACTCCAACATGGCTACTGCTGGTCCTTACATTGAACAAGGTGTGTCCTTTCCTCCAGATAAACTGTAGGAAGTTAGTCACCGTTCACCTACTGGAAACAAACTACTCAGCCCATTATGGCAGCCCTTACTTAAAGGACTTGAGTTCAAATGCCATCTCCACCCTTCACTACTTTAGTAATTTAAGTAAGTTTAGCATCTTAGCTTAAGTTTTCTCATCTATAAAGCGAGCAAAATAATTCCAGCCTCCTTGAGGATTGTTGGGCAGACTATTGCATATACAAGGGTAGTGGTGGTTATGTGCCATGGAGTCGGTTCCAACCCATATTAACCCTCTACAGGGTTTCTGAGGCTGTGAATTTTTACGGGAGCAGAAAGCTTCATCTTTTCTCCCATGGAACAGCTGGTAGTTTTGAACTGCTGACCTTGCGGTTCACAGCCTGATTGGTAACCACTACTCTACCAGAGCTCCTTATACAAGGGAGGTGGCATAAAAAAGTTTGTGAGAAAATGGCATAGAAAGATAATGAAATTTTTCTATGAACTTTTTGAAGCCCCCTCGTCTAAACATATGTTTGTGTGTTTAAACACTTTTGAGTCTGGCACGTGGTAAGTAGGGAAGTACTTCTGCTTGTTGTCACAGTATCATTAATTTTAAGAGTAATGAAATGAAGGTCAACTCTAGAAATTTCAGTAGGCAGTTTCCCCATGTAGGCTAGGTCATTGATGCGTCTTAGTTTCGGCTTTTATCTCTCTGGGTGAGGTAGGACAGGCCTCTTCCTTGCTTTAGCCTGGGTGACCGTCCTAAACTATCAGCATCATGTCGTTGATGTTAAATGCCTTCGAGTAGTTTCTGACTCATAGTGACGCTATACAGCGTTTCTAAGGAGCAACTGATGAGTTTGAACCACCAACCTTGTGATTCAAACTGAACTTGTGGCCCAGTGCTTTATCCCACAGCGCCACACCAGGATTCCTATCTTCATTGAAGACTATCACAAAGTCTCACCATTCTCCACTTACTCTCTTCTTAAACAGATTCTTAACTGCCCTGTTGGACAGATTTCTTTAGGAAGACTTTTGTTGTTGTTAAGTACTTACTGTCTAGTCAGTTCTGACTCACAGCAACCCTGGATAGAGGTTCTCAGGAGCAGTTGGTGGGTTTAATCTGTCAACCTGGCAGTTGCCAGTCCAGTGCTTATCCAACAGTGCCACACTAGGACTACTTAAGAAGATTAGAAGAGAGGGGATAAATAGCCTGTGGCTGCGTTTGTAATTTTGAAGCAATCCCAAATAGATTGCAAAGTGCATTTGGTGTACAGATCTGGAGTGGCAGTTGCAAATTCAACATAACAGTCACATTTTCCTAAAGGTATAGTGAAAATCAAGGAGCAGTTCACCTCATCTCTGGAAACGTACTTAGCGGAACCTGCTTGTATTGTCTGGGGTGAATGAGTGTAAGAAAATCAAGCTTGGGGGTTTTGTGAGCGGAGATGAACTCAGGCCACGTAGTCTCTCTCTCTACTGGGGGATTGGCAAGACCATTACTCCACACATTCCCTGCCTGGTGAGCATGCCCAGAACCTGCCCATGTCCCATGCTTGCACCACACATTCACATAGCTTCAAATACTCAGACATTTCTACTGTCTTGTGTGTTTGCTTGGTTGTTTTTGTCAATTTCCAAAGACTTGTATCTATTGTCTGTGTGGTGTGGTGGTGGTTTTGTTTTGGTAAAATCACCTTTGAGTTAAAACTATTCTCTCCAGCTGGCTGGCCACATATATTTTCCCAGTGTGCGCTATGCACCAGATGTTGATAAATGGTGACTCTAAGTATAAGTCACTGTGTGCTCTACACAATGCATCGCAGGGAGCAATTGCATTCTCAGTTCTGGAAAACAGCTATTTTCCACTCCTAGGGGACTGGCACCTCTCTAGACTGAAAATAGGATTGGTAATAGAATTTCACAGCTAAAGGCCCCCTTCGAATATTGCCCTACTGGGGAGGAGGGGAGTGTATTTTCAGGCATGATCAGCCTTCTTTATTTGTCAAGCTTGTGGGTAATCTCTGCTTGTTAGCTTTCCAGTGTATGTGGCTTCTTTCATTGGCATTAACTTCAGCCCAGCTTGAATTCATCAGTCATTTTAGTGTACCCTGGTGAAAAAATCAAGTGGAGGGGAGATTCTTGGTGAGTCTTTCTCCTATTTGGAGCCCTGGACTAGGAAACACTTACAATGACTCACAGAGCTTCAAAGGAAGCCTTGTCAGGCAAAGCAAACTAATGTAATCGTGAGTTAAACAGAAAGTAAGAGAATCACAAAAGTTAAATCCGTACCTTCAGTGTAGGAAGGAATTACAATACTGTAGCCTAGTGGTTAAGAATGGGGCTGCTAATCTCACAGTCAGCAGTTCAAAACTACCAGCTGTTCCATGGGGGAAAGATGAGGCTTTCTGCTCCCATAAAGATTTACAGCCTCGAAAACCTTATGCAGGGTCACTATGAGTCAGAAGCAACTCCATGACACATAACAACAACAACAACAACAACATACTAAGTACCTATCACACCTGATTTCAATTCAGTTATTCCTCATAAATGTATTCAGAAACAGAATGTTGGAGCTAGCCCAATAAGGTCCAGTTCTTAGGTAAAAGAGCTGAGATTTCATACTAGACAGTCTGTGGGTGGAACTGCAGGATAAGCACTGGACACTAAGTGCAAGATCAGCAGTTCAAACCCTATACAGGGTTTCCATCAGTCAGAACCTGAACACTCAACTGCACTTAACAATAACAACAATTCTGACTGAAAAATGAGTAAACACGAAATGGGAAGAACATCACATCCATGGTGTGCTAGTGAAAAGGGAGTCATTGATTGCAAGCTTCCATTTAGTCAGTTCATTAAGATGCCCTGCTTTTGTAATGGTTAAGTATTTAGCTGCAAACCAGAAGTAGGTAGTAGGAAGCCACCAGCCACTCTGTGAGAGAAAGAGAACACTCGGCTTCTGAGAAGATTTGTGTTGTTGTTGTTAAGTGCCATGGATCAGTTCTCACTCATAATGACGCTATGTAGGGTTTCCAAGGAGCAGCTGATGGGTTTGAACTGCTAACCTTGTGTTTTGCTGTTTAGTGCTGATCCTCTGAAAATATGACAGCTTTGGGAATCCTACGGGCAGCTCTACTCTGTCTGAACGGGTCCCTGTAAGTCAGAATGGACAAATCCATTGGAGCATGTGAGTTCATTCTATTCCCAGGGGCTGGTTCTTAGCGTTCCCAAGGAAAATATGGATTCCTTGGCCTGAATCCAAAGTGATCGGGGACCAAACTGAATGACTAATTGTTGACATTTTTGTTCTTTACATGGACACTTTGGATCACATAAGACACAAAATGGCAACAAACTTACTGCCTTTGAATCAATTCTGGCTTATAATGACCATATAATAAGACAGAGTAGAATTTTTCCATAGGATTTCTAAGGATTTAAATCTTTTTAGAAGCAGACTGCCACATCCTTCTTCCACAAAGCACCTGTTGAGTTTGAACCATCAACCTCTTGGTTAGCAGCTGAGCGCTTTAACCAATGTACCACATAGTTACAGGATAAATGTACATGTGTTTCTATTGAACAATGGGGAAGTGTTGATGCACTCGTAGAGCAAACTTATGAAAACATCACTGACCTTCAAAGGATACAGAAATTTGAGTGTCTTCTAATCCAGAATCACATCTAGAAATATCCTGTTGTTAAGTGTCATCGAGTAGGTTCCGACCTACAGCCACCCTGTATAGGGTTTCCAGGGAGCAGCTGGTATGCTTGAACTGCCAACCTTGCTGTTCAAATGGCTTTGCAGTCTGGTGCATTAACCCACAGCTCCACAGCAGGACTCCTACCTAATGTTCTAGAGAGTAATGTTCAGTTTCTCCTCCTATATTCCGTCACAGGCAATCACAGCAAATCTAGGAAGGGCATGAAGACTCCAGATACACATGGGCTTGGTTAAACAGTATAAATTCATCATTTCCATCAATCCTCACAGCAACTCCTTGATGTCACTATTATTGCTTAATAGCTTACATTGATGAGAAAATGAAAGGTCAGAGACACTGTTGTATGTCTGAGATCCCAGAGCATGTAAGAGCATCTAGACTTGAAATCATGTTCAAATCAAACAAAAATCACAATTTTGGACATTTCTAATTGTTGATACCTCATCTTCACTTTATGGTGACATTTCAGATGTCAATTTCTAGCCATGTGTCTAAAATCTGGCTTTTAATGTAGCACCTAGTAATTAACTATTTTTTCCCCCACATTAAATCCTTTAATAGTACAAAGTTCAGCGTGGGCACTATTCAATGTATTTACCAAGCCAATTTCCCTTTCCTGTGACATTGTAGTCTTTGGTCCTGTCCATTTCATACAAGATACATTAGAAGAATGCTTTATGTTTCGGTTGAATTCCTTTTAATTATTTTGTAGTCATGTTTTATTGAAGCTACATTTTAACAAATTCTTTAAGGTATTTGTGCCCTTTCTGCTATTTGTACAAATGATTTTGGGATCCAAGTGTAAGAATTTACAATTATAACCATCACATTTCATCCTACTAGAAAAATTCTGTTGATAGCGGTGTAGAATGTAACTTTATACTAGCTATATTCTTGGCCCTCTGTCATGGGTAGTCACTCTAAATCATTATGAATATTACCGATGTAAACAGGATAGCGCTGAAAACCTGAGTGCTCGAAAATTTTGAAATTGCTTCATTGATCAGAGATTTTGACTCAGATTTTCAGACTTAAAACAATAAACAAATAAACAAAATAAAGTGATATCACCAGGGGGTTCCTTTTATGTGCTTGAGCAGTTTGCACAGGTATTGATGATACATCCCTAAACAGGAGTTCTGGTATTTTTTGGATGACCCTTCATGAAGACCCTCTGGCTTTGGTAGTATTGATTAGAATGAGACAACTCAGTCTGGCTTCATCCCCTGCCACTTACTAAGGGTATAACTTGGGGCAAGACATTTGAGTCCCCATTAACTCCTTTAATCCATCAACTAATAACAGTAATGAGTCACAAGCTTCTTGTGAAAGTCCAATGATGTAATCAGAGGTGAAAGTGCTTTGCAAATATTAGCTGTTGTTATTAAGTGTGAAGATGGATTTCAACAGGAACATAAAAGGAGTCTTTACTTGAAGATGTGTTGATAGAATCATTTATCGATTGCCAACTCTGTGGCTTTCTTGGCAAGAGGGATTGCAAAAATGTCTAACCCTGTTCCCTACTTCAGTGCATTGTCTGATGAGAAAAACAGACTTTTATATTGCCACCATTGTGTCCTTATACTACAGACTTCTATTTACCATGCTCCAAACTCCATTATAGTTATTCTGTGTATGTCTAATCTTGCTTTATTACTGAAATTATAATGTAAATCAAAAGGAATGGGATTTATTATATTGAAGGTTGTTGTTAAGCACCACTGAGTCAGTTCCAACTCATAGCTACCCTGCATAGGAATTTTGAGGAGCAGCTGGTGATTTGACCTGCCAACCTTGTGGCTAGCAGTCTAGTGCATATGCTTAATATATATAAACATTTTAATATTTGCTTTTATATTTCAATGAAATCCAAACAACTGAGCAATATAATAAAATTCGTTGTTTATGTTCTCAAGCTACATTTTATGAATCTATGATATACCGGTCTCATTTCCTGGCACTGCAAAGTTCAAAGTCCCCAAATTCACTAGCCTCAGAACAGGCTAGTGTTTGACATGTTCAAATGACTTGGAATGTCATCCTGGCATGGTGCCAGTTCTTCCCTTACTTGGCTCTAGAAAGTTGGTGAGGAAAGTTGCTAGTTGGTACAGATCCTTTGGGGTCTATTTCATACTCAACCTCAAACAGACAGAGGAAATACGTGCCTCCCACTCCAATCCCCAACTCAGCAATCTGGCGGTGGGACAGTGTTCCAATGAAGGTTGGACTCAGATCTCCTAAAATCTATGTGAAGCAGAAATACTCAGCACTGTAGTACCTTTATGTGAGGTTTCCTGATTGCATTCCAAGAAGGTGGTCCTACGCAGTCTACTGGACAAAATTAGGGCTGAGAGGGTGGTCGAAGTGATGAGTAATGCCTTTATGGGTTTCCTGTTTGTCACAATGGGAAGGCCACACTTACCTGCTCAATCCCTATTTACTTTGTATTCTAGGATAGAGGTCAGGAAGATTATATCCCACCTGCCTATACAGCTGTGGTGTGTTGAAAGCTCCCTGGACTTAAAGTAAGGAGACCTGGGTTTGAGTCTCAGTCTGTCACTTATTTTCTGTGTGACCTTGGGCAAGTCACTTCACCTACCTGAGCTTCAGTTTCCTTCTCTGTTTAAGTGGGAACGTACTCTCCGTCTCATGGGGTTGCTGTGAGAATTCAGTGAGATGGTGCATGTGGAAAGTGAATTTTTGACTGGCTATTTCTCTGGTAAAAGTCAGCAGAGAACAAAGTATGTAACACTTTGTTTCTTTTTCAGGTATAATTCCAATGGTTTAAAAATCCAACACAATGCATCAATAAATATGCAACTGCCTTCAAGAGAGACAAACCCCTATTTTAAAAGCTTGGATCAAAAGGACCTGGTGGGATGTTCATCCACAAGGGCCAGTTCCGTGCCCATCATCCCTTCAGTGGGTCTAGAGGAAACCTGCATGCAAATGCCAGGGATTTCTGAAGTCAAAAGCAGCATCAAATGGTGCAAAAACTCCTATTCTGCAGAGCTTGTCAATGTTAGTATTCCAGCCAGTGATTGTCTGATAGCAGAACAGCAAGAAGTGAAAACATTGCTAGAAACTGTCCAGGAGCAGATCCGAATTCTGACTGATTCCAGGCGGTCAGAAGACTATGAACTGGCCAGCGTAGAGACTGAGGACAGGGCAAGTGAAAATACAGCCTTTCTCCCCCTGAGTCCCACAGCCAAATCAGATCGAGAGGTCCAATTTGTCTTAAGAAATGAAATACAAAGAGACTCCGCCTTGACCAAGTGACTTGAGATGTAATATTCTGGGCATTTTATGCTTTGCTCAACAGGAAAGAGAGGAAATTAAGTACAAATAATATGCATTAATTTAAGAGCATCTACTTAGAAGAAACCAAATAGTCTATTGCCCTCATATCATAGTGTTTTTTTAACAAAATATTTTTTTAAAGGGAAAGAAATGTTTCAGGAGGGATAAAGCTTATAACTAAAGCTTTTGGGTAGAATTCTGAATACAATTTCACTGAGCCCCCAACACTGTCCTCTTTGGCTCTCAAATGATGCACGTGGGCAATTCGGACACAGAGTCCCACAGCACCGGTGTCCTCATAGGAAAAGCACTGGTGACCACACAGTTTCAAAGAGACACGCAATTTCCTGGTGACGGAGGTGCCCATGAGCAGACCACTCTTACTATTCAGCTTGCCAATCCCAACTCCTCAATTTCTTATCCGCCTGACAGCCCCATCACAGGTGATATACCATGTCAACAAATACAGTGTTTCCTATTTGATTTTCAAAGAATGGCACAGAGACTTTGCAATGGGCAGTGAAACATGAGAGAGAGTAATTGGGGTCATTCTCAACTACTCTGTGTGCCATCTTCCTCTGAAATTTGAAGATACGGGATCTCAGAGGACAGTATGATATTACTGTAGAAAAAGAGACAAAAAAAAAAAAAAAGTTCACAATGGTGTGTCACTAAAATCATGCTAACAGAAATGGTTTTCTTTGAGGTTGTTTAGGGACTCCAAAGGAACATTTCTCAATGTGTGCGTGCCTGTGTGTGTGTGTGTGTGTGTGTGTGTATGTATGTTTGTATGTGTGTGTGTGTGTGTGTGTGTTGTGTGTGTGTGAACTTGTGAGCTAGCTCACATGAGAACTGATATGCTGTATGCACATGTGTGTTCATTGTGTGTGTGAATGTGCATGTGTGTGTATTCAGCTTGCTACAATTTGTTCTGAGACATCAGGGAATCTAATATCCAGAATAAAAAATTTCCCTTTTAGATCTATTCACTTAAAATGTTTCCATTAAGTATAAAGTTCAGTTAGTAAGTTCTGAAACCAAGGTCACTTGCATGGCAGGGTCCTATAAAACGTTTGACATTGTGTAGACCATTTTATAATGTGAGTACTTTTAGAGGCAAAACTGGCTCATTAATGGTATCAGTATTCAAGGCCAGTTAATTGAGGATGAGTGTTTATTTTGAATTATGGGTTCTTCAATTATTTACAGGAGCCAATGAGCAAATTGATAGTTACCAAATTGCCTTCTCATCATCCTCATTGCTATTGATTTTATAGCTAGTCTACTCCATGTGGACCAGGTTGTTGGCTTCTGTTGGTAGTATGGAAAGAATACATTGTTGAAATCATATGCCCAGAGTCATTCAGTTCACAGGAAGTCCTCAAAAGAACAGTAAATTGTGTTGTGTGTTCATTTGGAATAAAGCAATATTTTTACCACTGCTAAGGTGAACTGAAACCTCTCCTGAAGATTTGTCTGTTTTATTTACCCTTACTTTGATGGGGCATTCAAGGAAATTAGTGTTCACATAACCAGTCTTTTTCCAATTTTTGGTGGCGTTGAGTTGTTATGTTTACACTGTTTTAAATAAAAAGGCACAATATTTGAAAGTATACAAAATATTTCTTTTACTACAGTTTGGGAAACCATGGTTAAAATCTCCTCTTGGGAGAGTCACATGCCAATGAAAGGGCACTGGGTTGAAAATGCTTCTGAATCTAGGATTACATATGTATTATTCTTATGTGATGTTAAGTTGTTTTTACGGAAGTATGGTGCAAATTCTCTTTGATCTTTAATAAAAGACCCAATGTCATTTAGGGAAAAGAAGGAACACTCTATTTTGACTAACACTGTCTAGTAAAAATTCAAGATCTTAAATGTTGAAGGTACTTTGGTAGAACTGCATTTTATATTTAACATAAGGATGTACAATATTCATTTACTGCCCCTTTATTTTTTGGTTACTTTGAATACTGACGTATTACTTTTAGAATATTAAAAGATTACTAGACTTTTTCATACCCAAATCATCTAAACTCTCCTTTAGAATACTTCACCTTTGGGAAAAAGAAGATGATCTTAATTTATAGCTATGTAAAAATTCAAAAGTTGAGTATTTCATGTTACAATTATCAAATATTTTTAGGTATGCCTCACAAACCAATTTAAATTAAACATTGTTTTGTTTGTTTACCAAAATGGCATCTGTTGCTGATCAAAAGGATCCAGGACAAAATCATCTAATTAGGATGTGTTGGTAATGTTTGTGTACCACTGAATTGGTTCTGACTCATAGCGACTCTGTATAGGGTTTCCGAGGCTGTAAATCTTCATGGGCGCAGCCAGCCTAATCTTTCTCCCACAGAGCTACTGGTAGATTCGAACTACTGATCTTGTGGTTAGCAGCCCAGTTCGTAATCCGCTATGCTACCAAGATGTTGTTGTTAAGTGCCGTCGAGTTGGTTCCAACTCATAGCGACCCTGTAGAGGGTTTCTAAAGAATAGCTGCTGAGTTTGAACCACCGACCTTGTGCTTCAAACTGACTTTGCAGTCCAGCACATTAATCCATAGCACCACACCGTAGGGACGTAATTTTAATGTATTATTTATTCTGAAAATATTAAAGCTTGCCAATTACACATGTGTCTTGATGCAACCCATTATTTTAACAAATAATGAAGTAAAAACATATACGACTCGATAATCCCTAGCTGCATTTCAGGAAGCATGAACATTAGGCACACCCATTGGTAGTCTGATGTAAGTTTAGAGCTATAGTTAACTCCTTAGATGATAGTCAAGATAAGATCCCCCTTAAAGAGTCCTGGTGTGGCGAGGCTGTGGCGATACACTGGACTGCAAGGTTGGTTTTAATCGCAAAGTCAGCGGTTCAAACTCACCAGCCCCTCCTTGGAAACTCTATACAGGGTCACTATGAGTGGGAACCGAGCTGAAGGGCACTTAACAACACAGAACACCTATGAACCGTTACTTTCAGTGGTACTTCTCTTGATTTGGAACATAAAGCTTTACTGTGAAAGGTCTCCCAGCTGAAAATGCACATATTAGGACACCAGCTGACAAGTGGTGATTTCATCAAGACTTTGTGCATTTGCCGTAAAGCTTACCTGGCTATGAGAAACGCTCCTCTCCACAGGGCACCTTGTATTTTGCTTCATTCTCCCATTCTTATGTGTGAATAGGTAGTTGGATATTTGTATTTAGTAGGTTGCATATTTATTATATACATTGAAGAATGAATGTCAACCATTATTTTTTGCTCTGAAGTACTTTCTGACATGTTTTTTGTTAAAAAAAAAAAAAAAAAAAAGTTATAGTAATTTTCCAGTGACTGCTGGAGAAAGTTGTTTTTCTTCTAAAATATATGTCCAATTTATGCTCATTAGAAAGAACAGAAATGATGTTGAAGAATCAACATCAAGATTTTCTTTCTGATTTCCCTATTTCACTAAGTGCTATATATTTTACATTTTAGCCCAGTATCTACTTTCCTGTAGCTTACAGATTTGGTATTTGTAAATTACCCCATCCCCAATGACATCGGTTATTTATATATAGCAATAGGAAGGCCCTCCACAAATGGAACAGTGCTGTTTTTAGGGCTTCACTAATTAGTTTGTTTTGATAATATTAGAACATCAGCCTACCAAAAAGAGAATACGAGGGCCACATTTACTGCAAAAGAATATCCACTGAATTCCAGAATGAACTAAAGCTACTAACCGAGTAGCGCCTCTCGTAAGCATAGCAGAGACTATGAGACCTGGGACTTCATCAGGATTTGCTGTATGTATGCAGTGGTTGTTCACACCTATGGTGCTATCGGACCCTAGAACCCTTAAATGAAGGGGATGGTGGTCCCTTTGAGTCTAGCCTCTTAAACCAGAAATTATTGCCCTGAAACTAGTGCTGTGAAGCATGCCCTAAATGGTTAAATCTTATACCTATCAACAGAACGGTAGGGGTGGGAATTTTGTTCTTTTGGTATCTGGGAAATATTTTATATGCAAAGAATACTTTTTATTATTATTCGATTGCATGGATTCGGTGTTTTGTATCTAAGGATAGCATGACAATTCTGTGTTTGTATTTAAATCTTCAGAAATTCAATCCTTATCCAGGAAATGATAACATAAGCTTCCTAAGATATTCTGTTTCAAATGCATCACAATGTGCTGTTGTTTATGAGTTTTTTAAATAAGCTTTATCTCTCCTGCTTTCATTCTTTCTTTCCCTTTTTAATGACTTATTGAGGGTAATAGGAAGCAATTTATTCCTCAAGATCCACAATGTTCTTTTATAACAATGTGTTTTCTATTGTGACTATTTACACACACAAATCTTAAAGTCATTGCTCCCACAAAAGGCCGACAAAATCAAGTCGTTAGAGACCAGCCAACTTGTCAACACTTAGATTACACAGGCATTTTCAGTTCCTTCTCTTTTTCAAGTAAGCACAATTTTTTGGAGGGAAAGGGTTGAAACATTCACAAAACACTGAAATAAAATCTGTAATATGATCTCATAGAATGATGAATCAATGGGCACATGTGATTTCTGTCTCTATAGTGTTTGATGGTCTCAAATCTATATCCTTTCAAATTTAAACATAATGTCTCCCAACGATGTCTATCTAAACAAGTACCTTTGACTTTTTGCATCCAGTCTACTGAACTCTAGTAAGAAGAATTTGGGGTAAGTGAAGAGTTGAGAGTAGAGTGATTGCTAATCTTGCACACCCCAGTGACAATAATTAATGAGGTAACCAGACACACTCTTGGTAAAACGGAGGGTCAATTTTTAGCGCTTCTGATAAATTCTTGTCATAAACTCCTATATTGATTGCATGTGTGGTGCTGCCGATGAAAAAAAAATGTGTGACAGCAAAAACTAAAACCAACCAACAAAAGTACCCTGTTATTGCTGAAAATGAATTAGAAAAAAAATGTTAAAA